TTAAACAATATTCACGCACTCACTCAAAACATGTAGAATGGCGGAGTAGAGTGGACCCAGAATCCCCACTAGGTTGTTAAACCCGTTATAGCAAACATATGACTACAATCGGCTTAAATCTGATAACAGAAGAAACTGGAACCAGTCTGTTTTTTGTACAGTTTTAAAGACGTTGGCCACTGATATTCCATGGATTGCAAGTATTCCGTTGTACGGAATGAATAATTGGTCATGGTTATGAAAAAACATTACAGTCTGTTGCCATTGTAATTTGATATTTCATAATGAATATTGTGTGAACAGTAAAACCGCGTTAACTCAAAGTTTGGAGAATATGTGTGGACAATACCCCGAACCATTCGCAGTTTGAGACAAGTGGAGCATTAAATAATGTTTGTGACAATAAAGTAAGTAATGCAGTGTGTTAGATAATGCAATATGTTAAGTAATGGCGTATATTAAGATATGCAGTGCGTATTTATATTTAGGATACATCTTATTTGAGCTAGTAAGCTGTACAAATCATGTATTCGCCACTACGGGGCAAACCTGAAGGGTTGATTGCTGCAACACACGAGTTTCATAATAATAACGTACACGTCATGGTTACACAACGCCATTTAGAAAGTGGTCAAATGTAACATACGTTATATTTGGGATTACACTTTCTTAGTAAAGTACAAATTCTGGTACTTTTTGAGTTGAGTCGAAACCGGGATTCAAACCCACACCCTCAGAGTCAGGCACCTAATCGCCAGCACACAAAGTCAGCCGCCTAACCCGCTCTGCCACCACGACTTCCACAACATATGTTATATTTGGGATTACACTTTCTTAGTGATGTACAAATTCTGGTACTTTTTGAGTTGAGTCCCATCCGGGATTCGAAATTGGAAGTCGCGGTGGTTGAGCAGGTTGGGCGGCTGACTTTGTGTACAGGCGATTAGGTGCCTGACTCTAAGGGTGTGGGTTCGAATCCCGGATGCGACTCAACCCAACAAAAGACTAGAATCTGTTCTTTACTAAGAACGTGTAATCCCAAATTATAACATATGTTACAACGTCAATACTTTTACGTTAAGACAGTTGACATTATTTTGACAAAGTGATCTAATATACGTGTCGTGCGTGTTAGGCCGTTTTGTTTTTACAGTTTGATAAAATGGACTTTTATCTCACTTAATTAGTGTGAGGGGCTAGGAGCGCCAGATAATTCCCCTGTCATGCCTTAACGCCTTGAAGGATTTACGTCGATATCCAGCACTCCCGCTACCTGGCTACCATAGCACCTGACGGAGAAATACTTTCAGGGGGAGGGTCCAGCCATGCTTAACAACCTAACCACACCCTTGTATGAGCTCACTAGACAACGTGTGACACCTTCTTGGGACGTTAGATGTATACTATCACAAGAGGGACGTTTATGTTTGTTGCAGGTTACATGAAGAAGTGCCGATTTGATCCGAGCGACTATGAAATGTAGCATGAGAAAGCCTAAACAAGAACATTATTGACCCGTTGATGTTAATAATCTACGATAACAAACCAGGGCTTGTTAAAAAAAATTTCTTGATTGCTATCGATATTCCTGGAAAATGCTTGTCATGGAATAAAATGTCCATAAAAGGACACAGTCTTACTAATCCGCCCAAAGTCAAAATACCAGTGACTGTGATATGAATGGATCGCTGACAATCAGTGATGATACCAGGGGTACAGGAAACAGGTAACCATGTTGTCCTGCCCAACCGGCAGCATCCGTCTATCTCGCAATGTATGCTAGTTGCCTTCCATACACATATTGGGAGAGACATATAACTATTCTACAAAAGTGGAATAAGCTTCTTTTGCCCATTTGAGTATATCTGTGTAATAATAACCGGCAATGTATCGATTTATACTAGTTCAAATGTTCACAGGAATTCACCTACTTAAGTTGCTAATGCTTGTAGATTTGTATTTGTATTGACTCTTGAGCGAAAGCCATCGTAAGCTAGCCCTTATCGTGAATGTTAAGGTCAGCATGATCCGTGTTATCGGGCTCGGCTTTGTTAAACATGGTACTCAAGACTTCTATGAATTCAACTACTGATAAATTAGTCAAAGCAATCGTTAACCCAATGACCCGTTGCAGTATGTTCCCTTGTCAATCAGTTGACGTACGGAGGTAAGCATATACTGAATGAGATGTTCATTCTGTTTCAGTAGTATTTCAGCAATATCATGACAACGAACACCAAAGATAATCTTCTATTACTACACCATGTAGAAATGGAAACCAGTCCTTATATGTGGCTGACGAACACTTTACCTCCAGGCTCTGTGCCTCATATCGAGGGAATCTTCTGATATTACGTACATGAGCATGAGTCGATAACAGTTTAAAAATCAAAAACTCATTCTTACAACTTTTCTGTTTGGAAACAATAACCATTAGAGCCGTTACTCTAAACTTACATTCACAGAAGACCATCGTTTAATTATCGATGACGTCACAATAGTCGATATCACAAGTTTGGATAATAAATTGTTATCCAAAGTTAAATAGTAGAAAAATATCGGAAATACCTTTAAAAGATTCATGTGGCTTGTGCAGTTCAGCCGATAATTGTGATTCACTTGTAAGTTCCGGTCAAAGTTCATTAAATTCACCAACTAATAATGCAAAATAGATTTTTAGATTTGTGTTACAGTTTAATCCTGGGAACGAATCGAAAGATGGATTGGGATATGACGGAAAACACAATTGTGGTATTTTTTTCCAGTTGTATATGAACTAATAAACAGTCAAGGTTTAGCTTTTCGTCGTGCTGGTATGTGTTGGTATGTCCAATGATATTGAACTGAATTGCAGGATGGATCATTTTGATAATTTGCTGACTTCATTATTAGTGCGTGTACTGCTTTAATGTTGCAGGACCGGTCTACCTGCCAAGATGATTCCTAAAAGGGGAGCTCAATAGAGTGGAATGAATCATGACGTAATCAGTTTCTGTGTATTTCGTCACGTCGTGATGCTGTGTAGACTGGTTCTCCCTTTCCTCCTCTTGAGCGCAGGTTAGTTAGATTCATTTGTCCAGCAATGGTATCAAACTCAAACTTAGACTCAAAATACAAACAACGGTACCATCTGAACTGGTTAGTCTATTTCTTTGTTATTTAACACCGCACTTAGTGGCATTCTAACTAACACATAGCATTCTGTAAGTAATCGAGTCCACGCCTGACAGTTCACTGCCTGGTATCGTGAGCATCGATCTCTACAATTTGAATACGACAAGAATCTACCAGGTGATCCGCCCCTCTACTTGATCTCGTACGTCGCCTCTTGGGCTGCTGATACATCTCACCAGGGTCTACATGGGACTCATATGATATCGATACCATGAATCTACACTAAACCGCACTGACATCATTTTCAGATGACAAGCTTCGGTTGGCTAATAAAATCCTAAACCGGATTTCTTCATATGAATAGGTGGATGACATTTATGAAACAAGATGTACGTCACCCAAATTGACAACCATATACTTCCAGGAACTGCTGGAGAACAACGTGAGAAGAATGTGTCCGTTCATATTAAAGACTCCAGTATTGCTTGGATGCGAATACAATCAAACCACAATGACAACACGCAATCAGGTTTTACTCTGCTACAACACTGGGAGAAACTTCCACAGCATCCGAGGGTAGCACTGAGTCAAGCCACTCGAAGAAACAACATTACATGTCACAAACACAGAATCTACTCTTTCTCAGCAATCATCCACCACAGCATCAGGCACTGAGTCAAGTACCACTGACATGCCACGACCTCTCCACTTTTCAGCAGTACACCACCAGTCAAGCAGGCACCTCCCAGTCCACGTCAAGCTGGCACCAACCAAGTTCACCAATCAAGGCCAAAAGACCACACAAGGCTCAACAGAGGGATCGTCACCACAGACAGCTTCTACTCCCACAGAGGAAACGTCATCCACAGTCAGTCCTGGCCCTTACCAAGCATCTATGTCCACTACGATGGAAGCCACCTCAACCTTGTCCACTCCGGAATCTACAAAAGAAACGTCGAGCACAGAAACAAGTCAAACCTCGACTGTTTCCACTCAATCGGCCTCCACGGAATCTGCTTCCGTTGCCACTGCATCTTTAACTTCCTCTGAGGAGCCAACGACTCAAGAAACGACAATGACTGGGATGTCTTCAGTATCTACTGTTTCAACGACTGAGGAAAGCTTGACATCGGAAATGGTGACTGGAACATCCTCAGCAGTGACAGAAAACACATCTACAACAACCAGTTCTTATACTACAGAGACATCAAGCGAGACATCTACGCTTTCCACTCTCTTGACAACGCCCACAGGTGCGAGCTCCACACCATCAAGGGAAGCTACAACACCTACTCCCAAAATGACAACCGAGGTTTACTCTGCTACAACACTGGGAGAAACTTCCACAGCATCCGAGGGTAGCACTGAGTCAAGCCACTCGGAAACAACATTACATGTCACAAACACAGAATCTACTCTTTCTCAGCAATCATCCACCACAGCATCAGGCTCTGAGAGTACCACTGAAGCCACGACCTCTCCACTTTCAAGTACACCCAGTCAAGCAGGCACCTCCCAGTCCACGTTCACCAACCAAGGCCAAAAGTACCACACAAGGCTCAACAGAGAGATCGTCACCACAGACAGCTTCTACTCCCACAGAGGAAACGTCATCCATAGTCAGTCCTGGCCCTTACCGAGCATCTATGTCCACTACGATGGAAGCCACCTCAACCTTGTCCAATCCGGAATCTACAAAAGAAACGTCGAGCACAGAAACAAGTCAAACCTCGACTGTTTCCACTCAATCGGCCTCCACGGAATCTGCTTTCGTTGCCACTGCATCTTTAACTTCCTCTGAGGAGCCAACGACTCAAGAAACGACAATGACTGGGATGTCTTCAGTATCTACTGTTTCAACGACTGAGGAAAGCTTGACATCGGAAATGGTGACTGGAACATCCTCAGCAGTGACAGAAAACACATCTACAACAACCAGTTCTTATACTACAGAGACATCAAGCGAGACATCTACGCTTTCCACTCTCTTGACAACGCCCACAGGTGCGAGCTCCACACCATCAAGGGAAGCTACAACACCTACTCCCAAAATGACAACCGAGGTTAACTCTGCTACAACACTGGGAGAAACTTCCACAGCATCCGAGGGTAGCACTGAGTCAAGCCACTCGGAAACAACATTACATGTCACAAACACAGAATCTACTCTTTCTCAGCAATCATCCACCACAGCATCAGGCTCTGAGAGTACAACTGAAGCCACGACCTCTCCACTTTCAAGTACACCCAGTCAAGCAGGCACCTCCCAGTCCATGTTCACCAACCAAGGCCAAAGTACCACACAAGGCTCAACAGAGGGATCGTCAACACAGACAGCTTCTACTCCCACAGAGGAAACGTCATCCATAGTCAGTCCTGGCCCTTACCAAGCATCTATGTCGACTACGATGGAAGCCACCTCAACCTTGTCCACTCCGGAATCTACAAAAGAAACGTCGAGCACAGAAACAAGTCAAACCTCGACTGTTTCCACTCAATCGGCCTCCACGGAATCTGCTTTCGTTGCCACTGCATCTTTAACTTCCTCTGAGGAGCCAACGACTCAAGAAACGACAATGACTGGGATGTCTTCAGTATCTACTGTTTCAACGACTGAGGAAAGCTTGACATCGGAAATGGTGACTGGAACATCCTCAGCAGTGACAGAAAACACATCTACAACAACCAGTTCTTATACTACAGAGACATCAAGCGAGACATCTACGCTTTCCACTCTCTTGACAACGCCCACAGGTGCGAGCTCCACACCATCAAGGGAAGCTACAACACCTACTCCCAAAATGACAACCGAGGTTAACTCTGCTACAACACTGGGAGAAACTTCCACAGCATCCGAGGGTAGCACTGAGTCAAGCCACTCGGAAACAACATTACATGTCACAAACACAGAATCTACTCTTTCTCAGCAATCATCCACCACAGCATCAGGCTCTGAGAGTACCATTGAAGCCACGACCTCTCCACTTTCAAGTACACCCAGTCAAGCAGGCACCTCCCAGTCTACGTTCACCAGCCAAGGCCAAAGTACCACACAAGGCTCAACAGAGGGATCGTCACCACAGACAGCTTCTACTCCCACAGAGGAAACGTCATCCATAGTCAGTCCTGGCCCTTACCGAAGCATCTATGTCGACTACGATGGAAGCCACCTCAACCTTGTCCAATCCGGAATCTACAAAAGAAACGTCGAGCACAGAAACAAGTCAAACCTCGACTGTTTCCACTCAATCGGCCTCCACGGAATCTGCTTTCGTTGCCACTGCATCTTTAACTTCCTCTGAGGAGCCAACGACTCAAGAAACGACAATGACTGGGATGTCTTCAGTATCTACTGTTTCAACGACTGAGGAAAGCTTGACATCGGAAATGGTGACTGGAACATCCTCAGCAGTGACAGAAAACACATCTACAACAACCAGTTCTTATACTACAGAGACATCAAGCGAGACATCTACGCTTTCCACTCTCTTGACAACGCCCACAGGTGCGAGCTCCACACCATCAAGGGAAGCTACAACACCTACTCCCAAAATGACAACCGAGGTTAACTCTGCTACAACACTGGGAGAAACTTCCACAGCATCCGAGGGTAGCACTGAGTCAAGCCACTCGGAAACAACATTTCATGTAACAAACACAGAATCTACTGTTTCTCAGCAATCATCCACCACAGCATCAGGCTCTGAGAGTACCACTGAAGCCACGACCTCTCCACTTTCAAGTACACCCAGTCAACCAGGCACCTCCCAGTCTACGTTCACCAACCAAGGCCAAAGTACCACACAAGGCTCAACAGAGAGATCGTCACCACAGACAGCTTCTACTCCCACAGAGGAAACGTCATCCACAGTCAGTCCTGGCCCTTACCAAGCATCTATGTCCACTACGATGGAAGCCACCTCAACCTTGTCCACTCCGGAATCTACAAAAGAAACGTCGAGCACAGAAACAAGTCAAACCTCGACTGTTTCCACTCAATCGGCCTCCACGGAATCTGCTTCCGTTGCCACTGCATCTTTAACTTCCTCTGAGGAGCCAACGACTCAAGAAACGACAATGACTGGGATGTCTTCAGTATCTACTGTTTCAACGACTGAGGAAAGCTTGACATCGGAAATGGTGACTGGAACATCCTCAGCAGTGACAGAAAACACATCTACAACAACCAGTTCTTATACTACAGAGACATCAAGCGAGACATCTACGCTTTCCACTCTCTTGACAACGCCCACAGGTGCGAGCTCCACACCATCAAGGGAAGCTACAACACCTACTCCCAAAATGACAACCGAGGTTAACTCTGCTACAACACTGGGAGAAACTTCCACAGCATCCGAGGGTAGCACTGAGTCAAGCCACTCGGAAACAACATTACATGTCACAAACACAGAATCTACTCTTTCTCAGCAATCATCCACCACAGCATCAGGCTCTGAGAGTACCACTGAAGCCACGACCTCTCCACTTTCAAGTACACCCAGTCAAGCAGGCACCTCCCAGTCTACGTTCACCAGCCAAGGCCAAAGTACCACACAAGGCTCAACAGAGGGATCGTCAACACAGACAGCTTCTACTCCCACAGAGGAAACGTCATCCACAGTCAGTCCTGGCCCTTACCAAGCATCTATGTCGACTACGATGGAAGCCACCTCAACCTTGTCCACTCCGGAATCTACAAAAGAAACGTCGAGCACAGAAACAAGTCAAACCTCGACTGTTTCCACTCAATCGGCCTCCACGGAATCTGCTTTCGTTGCCACTGCATCTTTAACTTCCTCTGAGGAGCCAACGACTCAAGAAACGACAATGACTGGGATGTCTTCAGTATCTACTGTTTCAACGACTGAGGAAAGCTTGACATCGGAAATGGTGACTGGAACATCCTCAGCAGTGACAGAAAACACATCTACAACAACCAGTTCTTATACTACAGAGACATCAAGCGAGACATCTACGCTTTCCACTCTCTTGACAACGCCCACAGGTGCGAGCTCCACACCATCAAGGGAAGCTACAACACCTACTCCCAAAATGACAACCGAGGTTAACTCTGCTACAACACTGGGAGAAACTTCCACAGCATCCGAGGGTAGCACTGAGTCAAGCCACTCGGAAACAACATTTCATGTAACAAACACAGAATCTACTCTTTCTCAGCAATCATCCACCACAGCATCAGGCTCTGAGAGTACAACTGAAGCCACGACCTCTCCACTTTCAAGTACACCCAGTCAAGCAGGCACCTCCCAGTCCATGTTCACCAACCAAGGCCAAAGTACCACACAAGGCTCAACAGAGGGATCGTCAACACAGACAGCTTCTACTCCCACGGAGGAAACGTCATCCACAGTCAGTCCTGGCCCTTACCAAGCATCTATGTCCACTACGATGGAAGCCACCTCAACCTTGTCCACTCCGGAATCTACAAAAGAAACGTCGAGCACAGAAACAAGTCAAACCTCGACTGTTTCCACTCAATCGGCCTCCACGGAATCTGTTTCCGTTGCCACTGCATCTTTAACTTCCTCTGAGGAGCCAACGACTCAAGAAACGACAATGACTGGGATGTCTTCAGTATCTACTGTTTCAACGACTGAGGAAAGCTTGACATCGGAAATGGTGACTGGAACATCCTCAGCAGTGACAGAAAACACATCTACAACAACCAGTTCTTATACTACAGAGACATCAAGCGAGACATCTACGCTTTCCACTCTCTTGACAACGCCCACAGGTGCGAGCTCCACACCATCAAGGGAAGCTACAACACCTACTCCCAAAATGACAACCGAGGTTAACTCTGCTACAACACTGGGAGAAACTTCCACAGCATCCGAGGGTAGCACTGAGTCAAGCCACTCGGAAACAACATTACATGTCACAAACACAGAATCTACTCTTTCTCAGCAATCATCCACCACAGCATCAGGCTCTGAGAGTACCACTGAAGCCACGACCTCTCCACTTTCAAGTACACCCAGTCAAGCAGGCACCTCCCAGTCTACGTTCACCAGCCAAGGCCAAAGTACCACACAAGGCTCAACAGAGGGATCGTCACCACAGACAGCTTCTACTCCCACAGAGGAAACGTCATCCACAGTCAGTCCTGGCCCTTACCAAGCATCTATGTCCACTACGATGGAAGCCACCTCAACCTTGTCCACTCCGGAATCTACAAAAGAAACGTCGAGCACAGAAACAAGTCAAACCTCGACTGTTTCCACTCAATCGGCCTCCACGGAATCTGCTTTCCGTTGCCACTGCATCTTTAACTTCCTCTGAGGAGCCAACGACTCAAGAAACGACAATGACTGGGATGTCTTCAGTATCTACTGTTTCAACGACTGAGGAAAGCTTGACATCGGAAATGGTGACTGGAACATCCTCAGCAGTGACAGAAAACACATCTACAACAACCAGTTCTTATACTACAGAGACATCAAGCGAGACATCTACGCTTTCCACTCTCTTGACAACGCCCACAGGTGCGAGCTCCACACCATCAAGGGAAGCTACAACACCTACTCCCACAATGACAACCGAGGTTTACTCTGCTACAACACTGGGAGAAACTTCCACAGCATCCGAGGGTAGCACTGAGTCAAGCCACTCGGAAACAACATTACATGTCACAAACACAGAATCTACTCTTTCTCAGCAATCATCCACCACAGCATCAGGCTCTGAGAGTACCACTGAAGCCACGACCTCTCCACTTTCAAGTACACCCAGTCAAGCAGGCACCTCCCAGTCCACGTTCACCAACCAAGGCCAAAATACCACACAAGGCTCAACAGAGGGATCGTCAACACAGACAGCTTCTACTCCCACAGAGGAAACGTCATCCATAGTCAGTCCTGGCCCTTACCAAGCATCTATGTCCACTACGATGGAAGCCACCTCAACCTTGTCCACTCCGGAATCTACAAAAGAAACGTCGAGCACAGAAACAAGTCAAACCTCGACTGTTTCCACTCAATCGGCCTCCACGGAATCTGCTTCCGTTGCCACTGCATCTTTAACTTCCTCTGAGGAGCCAACGACTCAAGAAACGACAATGACTGGGATGTCTTCAGTATCTACTGTTTCAACGACTGAGGAAAGCTTGACATCGGAAATGGTGACTGGAACATCCTCAGCAGTGACAGAAAACACATCTACAACAACCAGTTCTTATACTACAGAGACATCAAGCGAGACATCTACGCTTTCCACTCTCTTGACAACGCCCACAGGTGCGAGCTCCACACCATCAAGGGAAGCTACAACACCTACTCCCAAAATGACAACCGAGGTTTACTCTGCTACAACACTGGGAGAAACTTCCACAGCATCCGAGGGTAGCACTGAGTCAAGCCACTCGGAAACAACATTACATGTCACAAACACAGAATCTACTCTTTCTCAGCAATCATCCACCACAGCATCAGGCTCTGAGAGTACCACTGAAGCCACGACCTCTCCACTTTCAAGTACACCCAGTCAAGCAGGCACCTCCCAGTCCACGTTCACCAACCAAGGCCAAAATACCACACAAGGCTCAACAGAGGGATCGTCACCACAGACAGCTTCTACTCCCACAGAGGAAACGTCATCCACAGTCAGTCCTGGCCCTTACCAAGCATCTATGTCCACTACGATGGAAGCCACCTCAACCTTGTCCACTCCGGAATCTACAAAAGAAACGTCGAGCACAGAAACAAGTCAAACCTCGACTGTTTCCACTCAATCGGCCTCCACGGAATCTGCTTCCGTTGCCACTGCATCTTTAACTTCCTCTGAGGAGCCAACGACTCAAGAAACGACAATGACTGGGATGTCTTCAGTATCTACTGTTTCAACGACTGAGGAAAGCTTGACATCGGAAATGGTGACTGGAACATCCTCAGCAGTGACAGAAAACACATCTACAACAACCAGTTCTTATACTACAGAGACATCAAGCGAGACATCTACGCTTTCCACTCTCTTGACAACGCCCACAGGTGCGAGCTCCACACCATCAAGGGAAGCTACAACACCTACTCCCAAAATGACAACCGAGGTTTACTCTGCTACAACACTGGGAGAAACTTCCACAGCATCCGAGGGTAGCACTGAGTCAAGCCACTCGGAAACAACATTACATGTCACAAACACAGAATCTACTCTTTCTCAGCAATCATCCACCACAGCATCAGGCTCTGAGAGTACCACTGAAGCCACGACCTCTCCACTTTCAAGTACACCCAGTCAAGCAGGCACCTCCCAGTCCACGTTCACCAACCAAGGCCAAAGTACCACACAAGGCTCAACAGAGGGATCGTCACCACAGACAGCTTCTACTCCCACAGAGGAAACGTCATCCACAGTCAGTCCTGGCCCTTACCAAGCATCTATGTCCACTACGATGGAAGCCACCTCAACCTTGTCCACTCCGGAATCTACAAAAGAAACGTCGAGCACAGAAACAAGTCAAACCTCGACTGTTTCCACTCAATCGGCCTCCACGGAATCTGCTTCCGTTGCCACTGCATCTTTAACTTCCTCTGAGGAGCCAACGACTCAAGAAACGACAATGACTGGGATGTCTTCAGTATCTACTGTTTCAACGACTGAGGAAAGCTTGACATCGGAAATGGTGACTGGAACATCCTCAGCAGTGACAGAAAACACATCTACAACAACCAGTTCTTATACTACAGAGACATCAAGCGAGACATCTACGCTTTCCACTCTCTTGACAACGCCCACAGGTGCGAGCTCCACACCATCAAGGGAAGCTACAACACCTACTCCCAAAATGACAACCGAGGTTTACTCTGCTACAACACTGGGAGAAACTTCCACAGCATCCGAGGGTAGCACTGAGTCAAGCAACTCGGAAACAACATTACATGTCACAAACACAGAATCTACTCTTTCTCAGCAATCATCCACCACAGCATCAGGCTCTGAGAGTACCACTGAAGCCACGACCTCTCCACTTTCAAGTACACCCAGTCAAGCAGGCACCTCCCAGTCCACGTTCACCAACCAAGGCCAAAATACCACACAAGGCTCAACAGAGGGATCGTCACCACAGACAGCTTCTACTCCCACAGAGGAAACGTCATCCACAGTCAGTCCTGGCCCTTACCAAGCATCTATGTCCACTACGATGGAAGCCACCTCAACCTTGTCCACTCCGGAATCTACAAAAGAAACGTCGAGCACAGAAACAAGTCAAACCTCGACTGTTTCCACTCAATCGGCCTCCACGGAATCTGCTTCCGTTGCCACTGCATCTTTAACTTCCTCTGAGGAGCCAACGACTCAAGAAACGACAATGACTGGGATGTCTTCAGTATCTACTGTTTCAACGACTGAGGAAAGCTTGACATCGGAAATGGTGACTGGAACATCCTCAGCAGTGACAGAAAACACATCTACAACAACCAGTTCTTATACTACAGAGACATCAAGCGAGACATCTACGCTTTCCACTCTCTTGACAACGCCCACAGGTGCGAGCTCCACACCATCAAGGGAAGCTACAACACCTACTCCCAAAATGACAACCGAGGTTTACTCTGCTACAACACTGGGAGAAACTTCCACAGCATCCGAGGGTAGCACTGAGTCAAGCCACTCGGAAACAACATTACATGTCACAAACACAGAATCTACTCTTTCTCAGCAATCATCCACCACAGCATCAGGCTCTGAGAGTACCACTGAAGCCACGACCTCTCCACTTTCAAGTACACCCAGTCAAGCAGGCACCTCCCAGTCCACGTTCACCAACCAAGGCCAAAATACCACACAAGGCTCAACAGAGGGATCGTCACCACAGACAGCTTCTACTCCCACAGAGGAAACGTCATCCACAGTCAGTCCTGGCCCTTACCAAGCATCTATGTCCACTACGATGGAAGCCACCTCAACCTTGTCCACTCCGGAATCTACAAAAGAAACGTCGAGCACAGAAACAAGTCAAACCTCGACTGTTTCCACTCAATCGGCCTCCACGGAATCTGCTTCCGTTGCCACTGCATCTTTAACTTCCTCTGAGGAGCCAACGACTCAAGAAACGACAATGACTGGGATGTCTTCAGTATCTACTGTTTCAACGACTGAGGAAAGCTTGACATCGGAAATGGTGACTGGAACATCCTCAGCAGTGACAGAAAACACATCTACAACAACCAGTTCTTATACTACAGAGACATCAAGCGAGACATCTACGCTTTCCACTCTCTTGACAACGCCCACAGGTGCGAGCTCCACACCATCAAGGGAAGCTACAACACCTACTCCCAAAATGACAACAGAGGTTTACTCTGCTACAACACTGGGAGAAACTTCCACAGCATCCGAGGGTAGCACTGAGTCAAGCCACTCGGAAACAACATTACATGTCACAAACACAGAATCTACTCTTTCTCAGCAATCATCCACCACAGCATCAGGCTCTGAGAGTACCACTGAAGCCACGACCTCTCCACTTTCAAGTACACCCAGTCAAGCAGGCACCTCCCAGTCTACGTTCACCAGCCAAGGCCAAAGTACCACACAAGGCTCAACAGAGAGATCGTCACCACAGACAGCTTCTACTCCCACAGAGGAAACGTCATCCATAGTCAGTCCTGGCCCTTACCAAGCATCTATGTCCACTACGATGGAAGCCACCTCAACCTTGTCCACTCCGGAATCTACAAAAAGAAACGTCGAGCACAGAAACAAGTCAAACCTCGACTGTTTCCACTCAATCGGCCTCCACGGAATCTGCTTCCGTTGCCACTGCATCTTCAACTTCCTCTGAGGAGCCAACGACTCAAGAAACGACAATGACTGGGATGTCTTCAGTATCTACTGTTTCAACGACTGAGGAAAGCTTGACATCGGAAATGGTGACTGGAACATCCTCAGCAGTGACAGAAAACACATCTACAACAACCAGTTCTTATACTACAGAGACATCAAGCGAGACATCTACGCTTTCCACTCTCTTGACAACGCCCACAGGTGCGAGCTCCACACCATCAAGGGAAGCTACAACACCTACTCCCAAAATGACAACAGAGGTTTACTCTGCTACAACACTGGGAGAAACTTCCACAGCATCCGAGGGTAGCACTGAGTCAAGCCACTCGGAAACAACATTACATGTCACAAACACAGAATCTACTCTTTCTCAGCAATCATCCACCACAGCATCAGGCTCTGAGAGTACCACTGAAGCCACGACCTCTCCACTTTCAAGTACACCCAGTCAAGCAGGCACCTCCCAGTCCACGTTCACCAACCAAGGCCAAAATACCACACAAGGCTCAACAGAGGGATCGTCACCACAGACAGCTTCTACTCCCACAGAGGAAACGTCATCCACAGTCAGTCCTGGCCCTTACCAAGCATCTATGTCCACTACGATGGAAGCCACCTCAACCTTGTCCACTCCGGAATCTACAAAAGAAACGTCGAGCACAGAAACAAGTCAAACCTCGACTGTTTCCACTCAATCGGCCTCCACGGAATCTGCTTCCGTTGCCACTGCATCTTCAACTTCCTCTGAGGAGCCAACGACTCAAGAAACGACAATGACTGGGATGTCTTCAGTATCTACTGTTTCAACGACTGAGGAAAGCTTGACATCGGAAATGGTGACTGGAACATCCTCAGCAGTGACAGAAAACACATCTACAACAACCAGTTCTTATACTACAGAGACATCAAGCGAGACATCTACGCTTTCCACTCTCTTGACAACGCCCACAGGTGCGAGCTCCACACCATCAAGGGAAGCTACAACACCTACTCCCAAAATGACAACCGAGGTTTACTCTGCTACAACACTGGGAGAAACTTCCACAGCATCCGAGGGTAGCACTGAGTCAAGCCACTCGGAAACAACATTACATGTCACAAACACAGAATCTACTCTTTCTCAGCAATCATCCACCACAGCATCAGGCTCTGAGAGTACCACTGAAGCCACGACCTCTCCACTTTCAAGTACACCCAGTCAAGCAGGCACCTCCCAGTCCACGTTCACCAACCAAGGCCAAAATACCACACAAGGCTCAACAGAGGGATCGTCACCACAGACAGCTTCTACTCCCACAGAGGAAACGTCATCCACAGTCAGTCCTGGCCCTTACCAAGCATCTATGTCCACTACGATGGAAGCCACCTCAACCTTGTCCACTCCGGAATCTACAAAAGAAACGTCGAGCACAGAAACAAGTCAAACCTCGACTGTTTCCACTCAATCGGCCTCCACGGAATCTGCTTCCGTTGCCACTGCATCTTCAACTTCCTCTGAGGAGCCAACGACTCAAGAAACGACAATGACTGGGATGTCTTCAGTATCTACTGTTTCAACGACTGAGGAAAGCTTGACATCGGAAATGGTGACTGGAACATCCTCAGCAGTGACAGAAAACACATCTACAACAACCAGTTCTTATACTACAGAGACATCAAGCGAGACATCTACGCTTTCCACTCTCTTGACAACGCCCACAGGTTCGAACTCCACACCATCAGCACAAATTTCAACAGCTAGTGCCAATTTGACCTCACACCTCTTCACCAATACACCTACGTTTAATACAACCGTTAAAACCTCAACAGCTCCTGTGAATGACACAACATGGATCCCAATGACATCATCTACAGATCAGTGTACAAGTCAGTATTTTCTCATTGCATGTGGTATATGCGAGTATGTTTCCTATGCTTGTGTCTGTCATTGTTTGTTGGCCTGTGTAACTGTTGTTGTCTGGTGGATCGATAACTTGATCTTTTGGGTGGCAATTGTCCTCTTGGTAATTCTCCTGGGTGGCAATTGTCAGGGTGGCAATTGTCCTAGACCCCTTCTGACTAGCATACCGTCCTCATTCCAATGCCGGTAGTATTGCTGCGTCCGGTACTAAATACTAACACCTCTGTGTAATGGATGAGTGTTACCTGTTGGGCATGTCCACCGTCCCCCGAATACATGGTGGCATCCCCGAATTTCCGTGGCCCTTCATATGTATATTCATATGTGTTTCATAGTTATGTTTTTCTTTCCACCATCTATAATGTGTTTCGGTGGATCATTAAGATTGTTTGTTCTCTTGCATTGACGTTTCATTTTTAAATGTATTTTTATTTGTGTCTTCTGATATATAGTAAACATTTTCAGTGCTTTGTTTAAGTTCATTTTAAGACTTACATCAAAATTGTAATTGAACAATCTGAAAGAAAGACGATCAAACTTACCCTGAAAACATTATGTCGTAACTGCAAGAACTCTTTTCCAGCATCAACTAGGGCAACGTTTTTATTAGATATACAGTGCAACGTGCCTTTGAAGAGAGAAAATGTCCAAAAGCTGGATATGATGGTAATGTTCTTAACTGCTAGATATACCTTTACATGTGGTCGTGGTGATTCCTACACTGCAAGTTTAGTGTGGACCTTGTTCTTCAAAATATTCAACTTCTCGTCAGAATTGTATTTTATTACAAAACTCCACATGGTTAAGTAACTCGTTGGCAAATTCGGTCTTTTAGCTACCATGAACACAATTCTTTCTAATTATTTTTTAGAGATTTTTTCAGTCCTACTCAATCAAATCATCTTAAATTTCAGTTCCAGAACCAAGTATTTAAGGGTCTTCCTAACGTCGCTGCAGTCTCGGTGGTGTGAGTAGTCAGTAGTCCATCAAAGATCTGTTACATGGGGAGGACATCTACGAAAGGCGTCCCAAAAGTAGTCGGCCTCACCCAGACAAATATACAAATGCAGCTGTTTTTTATGTTTTATTTTTCTACATATTGTGTGTCAACCTCAAGAAAATTGCTTTTGCCATGTTCCAGCCTCACTATCCCCATTTTGTTTGACACTTTATATTGTTACCCCTAAAAAACGCAAAATCTGCAATAAATGTATCATACATGCAACTTCAGGAAACAAAATTTTGTGTGTTTGAGATAGGCAAAGTTCTCTAGAATCAAACGTAGATATCAAAGTGCATAAAAATGCAGTTTGAAACTACGATCGCATCCCCCATGACGTTTACTGAAAGAGCTTGTTTTGGAGACACTACCCAACCCCTTTCAGATGACGCAGGCATAAGGACATAGTTTATTCTAACGTTTTCACTTATTCATACATAATGCCAAGGGTTCAAACTAAATACTGAATGGCCACACAAGTGTCAGCACTCAATATATTGTAAACAGTGCCAGCTTGAATATCTGGACACAGTATTTTTGAAAGATTAAAATGGGGTTGTCCCTTAAAAACAGCCCCGTCTAAATATAAATCAAGCAATCTTTGAAGGTTGATTATGGCGGGAAGTCATCCAATATTGTACTGAACATATTGTATATGATATTATCTGAGGGCATACCATTATCCAAGAGGTTCAAAATAACAGTTTTTCACTTTCTGCAATTTTTAAAGAAATATTATACCCAAATGTGTTGTGCTGACTAACATTTCGTTAACCACATTACCCACAACTGTGAATTTTTGGATATGGCTTTGCTAAAAATGATTCCTTCAAAATAAAATGGAAGCTTTTCTAACATTGGACATCGAGAATATAGTTTGGCCGACTACGTTTGGGACGCCCCTCGTAGATCTTATATACAGACAAACTTTATGCAAAAAATACTTCCTTATTCGGTAGATTCGACGTTTCGATACAGATTCCTGTATCGTTGTCAGCAAGTATTCTTGTATCGTTGTCAAGCAAGTACAACAATGCCACTCAAAGAAGTCCCCTCGTAGATCGTTAACCACGTTTGTCACGTCTCACATTTCACCTCCCGCGCAAAACAAAGTTGAAAAACACCACATCCTTTCATAATGTTGCCCTGCCTGCTACCGGGATGGGAAGACATGCTTACCCCCCTTAACCCGAACACCCAGAGTCGTCACTGACATCCAGTGCTGCTTTTACCTAGTGTTGACTATTTGATCCTTAACGCCGGTCTGAAGACCGGTTATCCTCTTGCACTGAAGTTTCACGTGTAAATTAACTTTAAACAACAAATCCAACAACTATTATTGAAGGATGTAAGATGTGCAGTGAATAAACTGAAACGTTCACAATCTTCTGGTAATCAAGAGAGATAAAGTTTCAGGCAAATTCAAGGGATGTTCATGCAGTTGTTGCAAGTTGCGTTTTGGTGAATCTTGCTGTGTGAAATAGTAAGAGAAATTAATAAGTTGTATGATGTGGAACCTCTCCCTATGCCATCAGGAATTACACAGACTCAGACGCAATATTCCCGTCGATCGGGGTTAGACAGAGATATAGTACAGCTCTGTTGCCGAATGTGTGCAAGAGAAACTGTGAAGAATGTTACAGTAAGTGCCTCTTCTCAACAGTGCCAACAGTGCCAACAGTAACCAGCTAACTATACAGATGAGATATGTATCTGGACACAGACAAGACCCTCGTGACAAACTCAGGTCAACCAACAGTTTAAGGGTGTTTCTGCAATCCAGTGCAACCATCTTCCGTCCTGACAACACTTCCTGCCTCGTGGATGTGTCAACACCTCGTGTCTGCGACATCGACAAACGAACTTGTCAAGACAAATGTGGTGAGTGTGAAGTAAACATTCTCATCTGCAGCAGAATTATATGTGTACGCACCCATAACCTTCCCTCCTCCTGAAACATACACAGCCTCCCCTCCACCTGAAACATACACACAGCCTCCCCTCCACCTGAAACATACACACAGCCTCCCCTCCACCTGAAACATACACACAGCCTCCCCTCCTCCTGAAACATACACACAGCCTCCCTTCACCTGAAACATACACACAGCCTCCCCCACCTTCTCCTGGAAACATACACACACAGCCTCCCTCCTCCTGAAACATACACACAGCCTCCCTCCTCCTGAAACATACACACAGCCTCCCTCCACCTGGAAAACATACACACAGCCTCCCCTTCTCCTGAAAACATACACACAGCCTCCCCTCCTCCTGAAACATACACACAGCCATCCCTCCCTCCTGAAACACACTGAAACATACACACAGCCTCCCCTCCTCCTGAAACATACACACAGCCTCCCTCTCACCTAAAACATACACACAGCCTCCCCTCCACCTGGAAACATACATACACAGCCTCCCTCCTCATGAAACATACACACAGCCTCCCTCCTCCTGAAACATACACACAGCCTCCCTCTTTTCCTGTAAACATCCACTTTCACCTGAAACATGCACACAGCATCACCTTCTCCTGAAACATGCACAGAGTTCCTCCTCCACCTGAAACATGTCCATGAGAAAACATCCATGGTCCTGTCGCCAATCCTATCAACACTGACTCACAGGTCACAACTCTTGGAACACACACACACTATAGATGTTTGCTGTTTCAGTTGCCATCGGGGTGAACGCCACTTGCAGCCCATGTTCCCTATACAACGTCACAGGGGACTGTCGTGACGGGGACTGCTTAGATAACAACACCGAAGCAATTTGCAGGTGAGACTCACAGCTACTAACGCTTCCAGTTTTATCTAATGGGTTTTCTAGTCATATATACATCTACGTGCGACCTATTGACTTACGCATTGAGCCACACACAATTTCAGATGCCCATCAACCCACAGCGGTGAGTTTTGTCAGTACCTGGCATCACACAACCCAAGACCCACCACTCCACCAGAAGATGACCGTCTTGTCGTCATCCTTGTTCCTGTAGTCGTCATGGCTGTAGTCGCCCTTCTAGCAACGTGCTGTGGACTGGCAATGTACAGGAGACGTCGTCGTCAACGACGACGTCGTATCCCGTTTGACGATAGGTAAGGTTGAACACGCACGTTCAGTGAGTGAATGAGCGAGTAAACAGATTGTATCGCTGCATCTCTCAGTATCCCAACAACAGAGGGCACCAGGGTATGTACGGTATATGTTCTCGGGTCCTGTCGATAGAGCAGGTCATGCGTTACCTTTTCGCGAACATTTGGTTCACTGATTTTTTAGGGATCCATTCCTGTAATAACCGGTGAAGATCCGGGTTAGAACTAATCTTTAGCAACCCGTGCTTGTCGTAAGATGGGACTAACGGAATTTGGTGGTCAGGCTGGCTGACTTGGTTCACACATGTCATCTTATCCCAGTTGCGCAGATCGATGATCATGTTGTTGATCAAAGGATTGTCTGGTCCAGAGTCGATTATTTACAAACCGCCTCCATATAACAGACATTCATGTAATTGCCATCAGTATTTTGTCATTTACGCCAGTAGAATCTGTTTCAGCAGATATTATTATCTGACATACATTTCCAATTTTTTTTTATTTGTATATTTGTCTGGCCAACTATTCGATTACTCAATACAGCGTAACCTGAATATTGCTTCCTCCCAATAGCGCTTCCTTCACCATGCCCACAAGTACCTTCCTGCCTCGGTATACCCGCAACTGGCGCCAGTTCTCTGACTTCGGCAGCATGTCCAGCATGGGAGACGCCGATATAGAGGCGCCCTCGTTCCGCGGCTTCGACTGCCAATCATCTACCCCACGACGCCGATGAAGACGTCACTGACGTGTTTTCAGGCACAGCTCAGACGGTAAAGGCATATCATAATATACTATTCCCACTTTGCTAAAGGATTAAATCATTGATTCAACGAAAACTATGATGTGGGTCCTAATTTGGTTTAAATATCTAAGCATATTGTAGCATGGATCCTAGGTTTCAGTATGTCTGAGTACCTAACATCTTCTACATGTTTATCTTTACAGCCTCCGTGGTTAACCCGGTGTGGTACTTTGATGCTTTGGATCCCAATCATGACGTAAGTCAGTAATATCCACATGTTGGCATCTCATGTCCGTAAGGTTATATAGAGATATTCTGTTGTCCTGAGTAGTAGTGGTACATTATTTACAAGAAGCGGTAAGATAGGTGTTCCACTACAGCTGATCCTATCTGCCCATGGGGTAGTCTAGAATTTAAAGCGTGTATTCCTCACACTAAAGCGCTGGTTCGCCCACATTGGACACAATGACCGAAACCTATACTAGGCACATAAAGAAACTGTGCATACAAAAATTTAAAATCTAAATTTATCAAACCTGTGTAGACACACAAGGATTCAAACTCAGAGATTAGTGACATGTATCCAACATGCATGCACATGCAAAGTTCCGTGACGTCAGTGGATTCGTCCTTGAGACGTGCAATACGTTGTTGCGGCTATTGAAACGCATAGCATGCCAAGGCTCACGTCTGCATAACGTCATGAGGCCATTGGGATGGCCCGTGGGGGAATGTCTCAACGACAAGTGGCTGCACATTTCCACTGCCACCGGAACACCATTTCTGCACTGGTGAGACGCTACCAGAACACAAGTGACATCATCGATCGGCCACGTTCTGGACGTCCACGTGTAACAACTCCAAGACAGGACAGATGGATAAGGGTGACCCATCTTCGCCACAGGTTTCAGACTGCAGTGATGACGTCTACGCCGTCTTCCTCGTCCGCCAGATAACGTCCTTGACCTTGCAACAGAACTTGAAAGAATCTGGTGTGACATCCCACAAGCCTTCCTTGCACGTTTGATAGGCTCTATCCGTCGTCGATGCGCTGCTGTTCTCAATGCCGATGGTGGACATACCCGTTATTGAGCTTGTGACATGGTCGTTTGACCCCTGTCCCGCTTGTGGACTCGTGACGTCATTGTGATTGAATTTTCAATTGAAATTCTCACGATTTGTTATGGTCTCATGATCCCTCCATTAAAGTTTATATGTACCTTTGACATTGTTATCGTACTTATCAACTGGGATAATATTTTGACAATGCACAGTTTCCTTATGTGGCTTGTATATTTCTAATGGTCTTCGTAGTGATACTAAAATACCAGCTCTAGATTGCCTACTCAGTATGAAGACTTAATACATACGCCGGGCAGAATGTGTCAGAGTTGAGTGAGTATGGTTTTACGCCGTCTTTGGCAATGTCCCGGCAATATCACTTTTGATTTAATGATAGTTATAGATTCCACGATAATTATCGCTCATTGCATCCACAGAAGAACCCATCTTCACACGTCAGTGTCAAACTTTATTTCACAAAGCAAGCGTTTTCGTATGCGTGTGCAAGTAGCCCCTGTATGTTATTCGGTGACTACCGCCATGCGCCAGATATTTACTTAATTATTTACCTATTTCAGTTTCGAATAGACAGACCTGTAGTGCAACCAACGCCATTAACACCGTACCTGTAATGGTAAGTATTACAGAGGTCAATATCAAAATGTCAAAATGAAGAATTCCTTTTTCAATTTGATATAGCTCATTAGCATGCATTAGTATTTCAATGTTTCACGAAGCGGTATACTCGTCGCTTCCTTTCTGTCTCGTTGGCTCCATGCGTACGATTAGTGGTAACATTTACGATATTCAATGACTACATTCAGATAATATACAAGTTCATCTCTCAGTATACTTGACTATGCGGACATTGTTTTGATTACTATTGATTTTCGATGTTTATTGCTGTATCACGGTTTTCCAATTCGAGGAGCAAAAAGATTAGCACAGATATTTCCACTGCCCAATGACATTGTACTATTAAGCCTGTTTGTTCGACCAACAGTTCGACCACGCAATGACTGGATGATACAAGGCATTTTGCCAATATTAGGCAAAGGCAAAAGTGACGAGTGTATATGAACGATTTCACCTCCGGAAATGTAAACTGACTCCCCAAACGATGATGACGTCACAGACGTTGCTCCCGAGTCGACCGAAGTCGAAGATACACAATCCCAATGATCACCCATATGAATGCAAAGGTACATTATTACGTCACAGACAGTTGCTATTCTCCAACCAAGCTCCGATCCACAGCTACAACATTCCGGTGACAAAGCGACCGCAGTGTCAGCAATAATCGGAACAATTCACAAAAAGGATGTGAGCCTACTTATCCGCTGATTGTAAAAGTCACTACGCGTCTGTGAGTCTGTGCATACGTCCCAGATGTCGCCAGGAGGAAGTCCACGTGTCTGGAACTATGTGATTGTGGGGCCCAGCCCAAGGTTGGCAGCATGCGACGTGGAAAGGGAAATACTAACTGCATACCCCTCTCAATATGTCTTGATTCATGGAGGAAACAATTCAGTTGGCATAAAAGCAAAATATTCGCGGACATTATGTGCTTAGATCGCTGAAATCAGTGACGACACCAGACGTTCTTGCAAATGTTGATCGTGTCCACCGGTAGCACTCCCCATGCACGTGGTGTATTCTCGACAGCTACTTACCTAAACATATTGATCAGCGTACAGCACTGAACAACCCGCCCATCGATACGACGTGCACTCAACAGAACAGTCACGCGTTGCCACTAAAGACGATTAATCTGATTTTCCATAATGTATATAGTACACTTATTTATGACACTTCCAGTGTTTTGTCTGTGTCAGACCGCCCAGTTAGTTAAGGAATAGCATGATCTGTTAGTCGTTATAGGAGATATCAACTGTATGTTAAAAATCAATATCATGACATTATCATTTGTTGAGGATCTTATGAACTGATCGAATGGTGATATAAATAAGTTTGTTCGAAAGTCGACATCGCTACATTTTCATCTGTTGATATAACTATGCTCTGGTAGACTATTGACATGTTTATTTTGTTTCTCGTGGATTTCTTGACACTACTATTCTCTGTCTGGTGTTTGACGTCACTATTTTGTATGGATGTTGTTCATGCTATGCTCTGATTGGACGTTTCATATCGTTATCAGCCCACACGTTCGTGTGCACACAAACTCTTTCAACTTGAATGTTTGAGCCAAAGTTTTCAAGTGTAATATATCTACCATTACCCTTTACCATGCTATCCTTGGGAAATCCCACTCACAAACACACAAACAATACTTAATACATTATTATATACAAAGCCGTGTTACTTGGAGGATGGGAAATGTATGAAAATAATCGCGGATCGTTTAATAGGCAGTACTAATCGAGAGTACAGCTGCAGCCACAAGTACAGATAGCTGGTAATTTGAAGTGTAATGTTTGTACAATATCTAGATTTCTATTGCTGCATATAGTCCTTACAATATGGCGTTTTTCTTGTGCAACATGGTCTTAGCGTAGCGGTCTTGTTTATTGTTGCTTTATTTTATGAATTAGAAAGAACCAAAGCGGATACCTGGCTTCTGAGATATATTTTTATACATTGTTAATATTTATAACCTTTTACAATATTGAAGAATAAAATGAATCTGGCATTGGTTGGTAATAGTTCTGTGTTCGTTCAGACTGGACTGGAGTGTAATCATAAGGCAGACAGTCCAGCTTGGTACAAGATACCACGGTCATCGGCAGATCATCACGGTCTTCATGTATGCTTCTTGTGAGTGGCGAGTTGGTTTTCTGCGCTGCTTTTAGCAATATTCCAGCAATATCTGCGACAGGAGACACCAGAATGAGTTTCACACATTGTACCCATGTGGGGAATCAGACCGGGTCTTCGCGTGACGATAGCAACTTTAACCATCCAGGCTACCCCACCGCCCCCATGTATGCTTCTAACAAACAGAAGCGTTTGCATATTCTAAAGAAATGAAACTGAAAAGGTTAACAAGTCAAAATATACACATAATCGGGTATATTTATCTGGACATACATAATATTTCACAAAGCGCATCACGAAATATTCAGGATGAACATGTATTTGGAAGCTTGAAGAAGAAGCGTTAGCTTAGGATTATTAAACTATTTAATTTGTAGGTGCCCTTATTAAAAGCATGATGCGAAGGCAGGCAGAGTCAACCTTTAGTCCAGTGGCACAGATGAAAGCAGTCTTGGAGTTTTAAGAGTCCTTCATAGAGACAGACAGACAGACAGAGACAATACTTTATCTCCCATCATGCGGACATGCCTTTCCTACAGACTACACTCAATGTCATTTTCTGAGACCAGAACCTTATTTTTCAGGCTCTTACCACATCATACCCTCACAGTTTTATAACTGTTATATGACCTCTTTGAGGTTGGCTGTAACTTAACCTGCCTTGCTTGGGGAACAGGGTCTTTGTCTGTTAGTATAAACCGACTTTCTATCATAAGAACATAAGAATTTAACTCACTTTGCATACTAGGGTAATATTGGATCAGGACTGCATACTTCTACATGCCTCCAAGTATATTTCACTTATTGTGTATATTTTCACAATTTTACACTAAATCTAATCCTACTACAGTAAGCGCACTTTCTGCTGAGCTTACTGCAATCTTGAGTTCGGGCTGCTCAGTTAAAAGTCTCTAATGTGAAATTGATATGTCTCCTACAGATTTCTGGAAAGGAGAGTCTCCCAAAAGGATTTGGCATTTTGTCACTGGCACATTTGTTTTCAAATATTCTTCTTAGGGTCTGTCAGAGGTAGGAAATAAAATACTATGTACCATTTGTTAATGTAAACTTGTAAGGTTTGTAAATCAGTCTTGAGGATTATAAATAACAAAACAATTAAATCAGTCCTCTTGAGTTTGGCCAGTTTTATA